TATATATATATAATACATTGATAGTTAGGAAAAATGCTAACGAAAATGTTAGTGATTTAAAAGTATATTTTTTTTAATTGAAAACTGTAATAGTATATTATCTTTCTATAATCTTACTGTAGTTTTCAATGTTAGAGAAATTATATATTAATTTGTTAACTAATTCTAGTTACGTGTCCTAAGAATTCAATTAACAAGTTGTAATAATTTCCATATAAAAAAATGTAAGAGTTAGATGTGTTCATGGATTGAACTAATCAAATTTTAGAATTTTTTTTCTTTTTTTCTTCTTCATTCAATCACTTCTATTTTTGTTATCATCCAATCAATTTGATTGTAAAAGCAAATTCAATCAAATCCAATTTATTTTAATTTGTTTTTAATTGATTTTAAGTTTTTTTTAAAATAGAGTATTAAAAAATAATAAAATATCAAATCTCATATATAACATAATATATTTCAAAATATATACTTAAATTAAAAAAATTAGTCTTATTACAAGTATTTCCTAATTCATTGAGATAAAAGACTAATATCGCTATGTTGATGTGATTATTATTGGTTGAGTAATTCGAAGGATTTTTGCATATGACAAATGTTTGACAATAAATTTTTTTTTGTTAAATATGTCATTTTCATAATATTTGAGTGCAAACTATATAATCATTACATTAAGTCATCGAGTTATTTTGAATTGTAATTCAAAAATAATTTGATAATCTTTTAAGAGAAAAATACATAATAGATGATATAAAAAAATCTTGCAAATTCTTTAATAAGTGATTGTGCAATTAATAGTTGAATAATTTTGAATACACGACAAAGTTTGGTTTGATATAAAGTAAATCAATTTTAAATATGTGATACAAAATTCAATTCAATTCAATTTTTAAAAAATAATAATTTTTATTTATCGTGATTTTTCCAATTTGTTTATTGCCACTTGTACTTGATTACATCAATCGGTTGACAATTTTCTTATTAAGAAGTTTCATAAGATATTAATGTTAGGAGGAGAATTTTTATTTATTCATTGTTTAACTTCTTAGGTTGCATTTTTTTTAGGATGTTTCATTTTTTTCATGATTAAAACATCATGTATGAAAATGTGAAATTGTCTCAAATTTTAAAAATATATTTTCAAGTATTGTTATTTTGAAGAAAGTAATTGTCTCATGTCAAGATATAAACAAAAGTTTGAGAAAAGAAAACAGAATATATTTTTTATCCATTATTTTAGACGATTGCTCCTCCATTATATATAAGAATTAGGTTAATTAAGTAACCTTATACTATTATGAAAGCTAACTATAAATTAGAAAAATAATTAAACTACAAATTGATAAGTTAATCAAGAAGTTATACATAACAAATATCCTAAATATATACCAAAAGATATTAATTGCTTAGAACAACTTCAATGAGAGTTGTTTGTCC